CCTTCCTCTGCAGGTCCCTTCCTGGCTCTGACCCCGGTGCTGCTGGGGGCTTCAGGCTCCTCCAGAAAGGGCTACATGTGGCCGGCATGGGCTATGTCACAGTGCATTGACCCCCTCTCTGGAGGGTCAGATGTCCTACGCGACGGTGGCTTCCCCCAGAACAAGAATCTTGAGAGCTCTGGGAAGAAGCTCTTTCCTAAGTAGCTGTAGATGACCCTGACCTTGACTTCTACGTCATTCTACTGGATGAGAAGGCACGAAGGCCAGCAGCCTTTATTCAAGGGGAGAAATAGGCTCCACCTCTCAGTGGGAGAGTCCTCTGCTGCATCCGAGACCCCCAGCTGCACAGCTCCCCCCCCATCCCAGGGAATCTCTCTCCCCACCCCATTTTCAGTCGCAGAGCCCAGTAATTGGTTCACAGGATTTCAGAGGGTGCTGTCCTCCAGGGGTCAGCGGGTCACTGGTCCTGGGCAATGGGCAGCCAGCACGTTGCTGGAAACACTGAGCAACCTCCCGGGAGAGAAGCGGCCGAAGCTTCTGAGGGTACTCGGCTGCACCTGGACTATGGAGGGATGGATTCTCGCCCAGGCTCCAGGGCACAGCTTTCTCCACAAACTTGGCTATCTTGGGAAAGAGGGGTAGCGAGAGGAAGTTGCAAAGAGAGCCAGACCTTGGGGGTGTGGCCAAGGAAGCTACTCGGTCAGTGTCCCGTGTGGTCCATGTGGCCTTGGCCACGTCTGGCTCTGGTCCCCACCAATGCAGAAGTTGCCTTTCTAGACTGTTCCTTATACGGCTCTGTCCTCACAACCGCCTCGGCGACCCAGGCAGTCACTCTTGTTGTGTTTCTCAGGGCCCTGGGGTGTCTGTGTCACCTTTTTTTTTTTTTGACAGGCAGAGTAGACAGTAAGAGAGACAGAGAGAAAGGTCTTCCTTTTGCCATTGGTTCACCCTCCAATGGCCACTACGGCTGGCATGCTGCAGCCTGTGCACCACACTGATCCGAAGCCAGGAGCCAGGTGCTTATCCTGGTCTCCCATGGGGTGCAGGGCCCAAGCACTTGGGCCATCCTCCACTGCACTCCCTGGCCACAGCAGAGAGCTGGCCTGGAAGAAGGGCAACCGGGACAGAATCCGGCGCCCCGACCAGGACTAGAACCTGGTGTGCCGGTGCCGCAAGGCGGAGGATTAGCCTAGTGAGCCGCGGCGCCGGCCCTGTGTCACCTTTGACATTTCCATCTGTGGGGTCCAGGCTGTCTGCCCAGGTTTGCACAGGCATTTCCTGTGCACCCCAGAGCTCTCGCTGGGCCGGGCATAGAGGACGCACTGGGACTGAGTGTTTGTGGCCCCTGGGGACTCTGGTGCTGCCGAGATGAGCCACCCCGGCAGGCAGGAGTCAGCTGCAGCGGCTCTGCACTCAGGAGAGCTCCACCTAGTGCGGATGCTTGGGTGAGCGACAGGCAGGCACCAGCAAGTAACTGAGGCAAGGAGGAAGGTCTGGTCTGGCGCTGACACAGATATTGCAGAAATCACTCTCAGCTGGGCTTGGGCAGGACTCCGTGGTCCATGGGACCCCTGCTGTGCCCCTTACCTCTGTGAGTGACCCCTCCTGGCTCGTGAAGACCCCAAGGCAATGCCTTCCCACACTTCCCTTGTTCTCACCCCGGCCCTTCTCCGTCCCCTACGGGGGACCTGGAGACTCTTGGCACCCAGACACTGGCTTCTGCCTGCCCCTCACTACCGTAAATAACCCAGGGTGGCCTGTTCCCACCTCGGCAGATGTGTGATGAAATGAGATGCGGGTTGAGGGCCTGCTGTGGTGTATGACCCGTGGGGCTGGCACGCCCAGGGAGCTTCTGAACCCAGATGCCATGACCAGCCCACATCTCTGCCCTCTGCTGCCCAGAGAAAGCCAAAGACCGATATGTCACAGCCGGGCAGCCCTCCCCTTCATGCCTGGGTGGGGGCCACCCAGTCTGGGTCCCCACAGAGAACCAACCTCCATTCTCATGGACGCCCCTATTCCCTGCGCCATGCCATGGAGATGTGAGCAGCCCTACCCCCACCCTAGGCTTCATCCCCAGCCCTAACAACTGCCCTTGGAAGACCAGATAGCCCCTCTGGCCAAGCAGGGATGGAAGGAAGGACTTCTTGTCAGTCACGGTTGTCTCAAACCAGCCTGATCTGTCTCCATGAACTTGAACCCTGGGCCTGGCAGGTTCCAGCGGAACATGCTTGACCCCATGGCATGGGCGTGGAAGGGCCGTGTGGCCTCCCCTGAGGATGTCTCCGGGTCCCTTTAAGGCCCTGCTTATGAGGACCCAGATGCCAACCCCTCAGGCTCTTCGCCCCCGTCCCTGGCCATGGAGAACCCAGGGTTGAGAGAAAGCTTCTGGGAGAGTGATTCCCTTCCCCCTGGTGCAGAATGGGCCAGGTGGAGGCTGAGGAGGGGAGAGGAGGGGGGAGGAGAGGTGCTCACATGCCTCGGCTGCCCCACCTCTCCCAGGTGCATCTCAGACACACCGCTTCCTCCAATCTGAGCGACAACTCCAAGCCATGCAACTGATTCTGCCCATTCCACAGATGAGCAGAACCAACTCCGTGGCTTAGATGCTTAGCAGCAGTTACCCTGGGGATGACGCACAGAACTGAGCCTCTGACCCGGCCGCTTCCTTGTTGCTACTGCTTTTGTTTGTTTGTTTGTTTTTCTAATACAAGCCAGCACCGTCTGTGCAGAGTTCCTCCAGCGCCCCCTTGGCTGTGATGACCTCCTGCTTCAGTCTGCAGAGTGTAGGAGAAAAGGCACCCAGACAGCTCTCCGTATGGCAGATGGGTACAAATCAGGGGGCGGAGTGAGTTCCCAGCCCACTTCCTGTAGCCAGGCAAACCTGCCAGGACAGCCCCTGGGGACCGAGTGCCCACTGTGGGGACCGAAGTGCTCAACCACAGCCTCAGGCCCAGGCTGGGAAGGCCTCCTTCCCTGTGTGGGGCTGGATGCTTGCACTGAAAATTAGCCAGTGCTTCATGGAGCTCTTGGGATGTGCTCAGCACCTGCCCGCCCACTGTATCCTCACACCCATAACCGCACGCTTTATAGGAGAGGGAGAGTGGGGAAACAAGGTCAGAGGCAGGGGAGACTCAACCGCTGACTGGTGGACGTGAGGACAAAACACAGGCTCGGACCCAGGCCCTGCGGCCGCTCAGTGAGCTTCTGTGAATGGGGCAGTAGCAGACCCTTCCAGTAAGCCTGCTGGGGCTCAGTCAGTGAGCGAAGGCTGAGTGCTGAGAACAGGCCGGATCCACAGTGAGAGCTACGCAAAGGGCCGCGTGCCTGCAGAAAACACACACACACACACACAGAGTCACACACTGTCACATGCTGTCACATATACTGTCACACACACTGACACACACACTGTCAGACACATGCTGTAACATGCTCACACTCATACACACTCACACGGTCACACGCTGTCACACAGTGTCATACACTGTCACACACAGAGTCACACACACTGTCACACACACTGTTTCACACACTGTCAAACACAGTATCACACACTCTTGCTGCACATGCTCACACAAATATACACACTCACACTGTCACAAACACATACTGCCACACACTCATATACACACTGGCACACAGTCACAACACTGTCACACACTGACACGCTCATACACATACTGTCACACACTCATGCACACTCAGTGTCACACACACATACACACTCATATACACAGTCACACACTACCACCCCACACACATACACACATGCTCACATTCACACACTATCACACACAGTCATACACACCCACACACTTTCACATACACACACTCATATACACACACACTACCACACACTTATACACATGCTCACACTCACATACGCACATACATACACGACCACACATACATGTACACACACATGCGCACACTCACACATACATGTACACACTCACACATACATGTACACAGTCACACATACATGTACACAGTCACACATGCACACACACACACACACACACACACACACTGGTGTACAGCGGATGCTGGGAAGCTGCCCACCACCTGGCACCAGAAGGCTCAGGTGGGACCTCGGAGTCCCTGTCTCCGGTCCACATCTTTATAAACTACACAAGACGCCTGTGTGCCATGGGGGCGGTAGGAGAGCAGGGGCGGGTGTGCGACCATGTGCCTGAGCTCAGAAGCACTCTGCAGGGCTGGACTCCTCAGTTTAGGCTGATGCTGGGGAGAGGTGTGGTCAGCAGGGCGGCCACAAGACCCTCTGCCCAGCACTCAGAGACAGCCACCTGCCCTTCCCGCCTGGCTGGAGCGCTCTGTCCTTCCCCTTCTCCAGAACATTCCAGCATGCCCCAGGAAGTCAGGGGCGGGGGTGCTGCTGGCTTCTATGAGGGGCTCCCCCGCTTTTCAGGTGTGGGACACCCAGGGATGGACGCCCACAGGTGTCACTGCAGTGGGCAGAAGATGCACCCAGGCCTGGGAGAGCAGCCCTCAAGCAGCAGGGGCATGGGGTGGGGCCAGTCTGCACTGGCCCCAAAGCAATGAGCTGGAAGTGCGATGCAGCTGCTGAGTCAGCAAGTAAGGACAAAGTGGCTGTACAAGCAGCAGGCACCTGCCAAGGGGCAGGTCCCACCCCTGGTGTTACCCTGGGGCCAGACACACAGCACCCATTGGCCTTTGACCGCCAGCATGGGACAGGCCCTTGAAGCCATGGCACAGACAGGATAGCTTTGGGTCAGAGTGGCTGGCGGCTGGTGGTGAGGACAGTCTCCCGGGCACCAAGAATTGGCTACATGACCAGCATGCACAGCCGCACTTCGGGGAGGCTGGCTCAGGAGACTTCTGGGGCTTCCAGGACTGATCCAAGAGGTTCCTTGCTCCCTTGCTACCTGGCCTCAGTCCCCTCAGAGCCCTCAGCAGGGAAGTGTGGTGGTGGGGAGTGCCTGGGCCTCTCTCATCTCTCCTCTTGCCCTACTTAGTGTTGATCGGCGTGGGCACCGAGACCTTACTCCGTGGGCAGTACAAAAGCCTGGCTTTCTACCTGCTGTGAGTATGTGCACAGGGGCCCCTCCCTGTCTGTCTCTACACCTGCCTGCCCAGACTAACCTGGAGCAATGCCTCCCTCAATGCAATGCCTCCATCCTAACCCATGGGGAAGGAATCAAGCAGACTTTTAAGATAGTCCTCGGTTTGGGTAGACCAGTCATAAGTCAATCATCCTTCCATCCACCCACTCGTCCACCAACCTATCTACTCACCTACCCACCTACCCACCTATCCACCCATCCATCAACACATCCACGCACCCACCCATCTATATATATATACATCTACCCATCTATGTATACATACATCCACCCATCCACCCATCTATGTATACATACATCCACCCATCTATATATACATACATCCACCCATCCACCCATCCATCCATCCATCCATCCACCCACCCACCCATCCACCCATCCACCCATCCACCCACCCATCCA